TATTAAAATAAATGAGTGGGAAATAAAAAGTTTTTCAGAACAAAATACACTAAAAATTGTGTGCTAATATTGTTAACCCGATGAATGTGCTATTAGAATATTTATTTGCAGTCTAGTTTGCAACACGTTTATGATCTTTTTTTTTTTCGTTATGTTCTAAAGGCTTGAAAGTGATTTGCACAAAAAGTATAACTCGGTTAACTATTTTTGTTCAATATAAGAGATATGTTTAGATAATCGCTCTCGACTTCGGAGCATTTCGCAAAACTTACGAGTCTATAATTTTTTTTTTAATCTAGTCAAAACACTCGTGGCTTCAATAATATTTTTATATCTGTTAGTATACGTAATAAGTCTCCGGAACACATTCGACCTTTCTCGATAAACGAACCATGTTGATTAGAGAATAATGTTACTTTAAGGCGTAATAGGCGTGATAATTGTCCGGTCTATCGAAGTCGAATTGATTTATACTACACACGTCTAGCGTAAGTTTTGAGTATACGATAAGTAACAAAACTTCATCTCGATCTTTCGCTTCTGACGTCATAATTCAGTATAGTCGCGGAAAACGAGAACTCGGGAGAGAATCTTGAAATCACACACATGATGCAGTCAATCATGTTTCGCAAGAGGTATTGTTCCACGTAATACTGATGCAAAATGTTACGGTGAAGAGGATAAGAATGAATTCACACGAATGGAAAATCTTGTTTGTACATTGATTGACATATAGTTTTTATTTCTCAACTTTGTTAGCAATTTTTTTATGATAATAAACTTGTTAGAATTTAATTGAAGTGTCACGCGAGAGAAAAGTGTCACCGACATAAAAACACATATCGTATTAATCGATTATTAACAATCGCTATACGTGCTCCCAACGGGCGAAATCGCTGCGCGACTTGAAAAAAAAAAAAAAAAAGAGAACAAAAATTGCGCTTGTGTAATTACCGCTTTTACGAACTTAATGAGTCAGTATCTGAATGAATGGGCATTGCGTGGGTGCGAGAAAAAGTGGTTACAGCAATTCTCGAGAGAGAGAATTCGCCGTCGGTTTATCTTGAATACGAGAGAGTGTATGTGTGTTCGAGATAAAAGTCTACCAATGTCGACTCGATACACATAATGAATCAAAAATGATTTGACGTAACAAACCGCTAACGAAACGCTGTCCGATAAACGCGAATTGGATCACAGTCGATTATTTTCTGGAAAAAAAAAAAAACACAAATTTCAATAAAAATCAAAATCACACAAACGAAAAGAGAGAAATGCTCCGTAGTTGCGGGTGTTTCTTTTCGATCAATTTCTCGTGCATATGTGATCGTAAAAAAATATTAAAATGTTTTTCTTTTTCCTTCGAACATTTCTCGAATTCGATACGAATGGTAGATATACTTCGCAGGAGGAACTTCGCGCGCGCGTTCCTGCACTGTCACCGGTGTTGATGATCTCACGTTATCCTCGTCTGTGATTTCAGTCGGCCGGACACGATGGCATCTGGCGGTTAAAAATATTTCTTTTGCGGACGGAGCTGCAGGCGCGCGCGCTTTTTGTTCGCGGTCTCTTCTTCTCCTTTGAGAGAAAGAGAGAGAAAGAGAGAGAAAGAGAGAGAGAGAGAGAGAGAGAGAGAGAGAGAGGTTATAGAGAGTCGCGAAATCTGTGCGCTTCGTGAAATAATTATGCCGGGCGGGAAGTCTAGGGACAGAAATACTTCGCGTACCGAGAGAGCGCGGTGAGCGTTCGCGAACAACGAAAAGCCATGGCAGCGGCGACGACGAAGACGACGAAGACGACGTCGCCGCTTGTGTAGATGTATGCGTGTATGCGTGACGGCGTACAATGTCGACACGTAGAGACAATAGAAATAGAAAAGTGACGCGATAAATTTGGGGAGAGAGAGAAGAGACGCGCGCGCGGAAGAGACAACGGGTTCTGTTGGCGGAACTTCGATCGCTGGACGTGCTCGCACGCATTGCCTGATTGTTATGACTGACAATCGTGACTTATGAGATTGTTAATCTGGCGTGCGTTTAGTTATGCAGCAAATATATCTTCGCCCGACATGTGTGTCGGGTCGTTTATTTCGCAAACACCGAACACACCAAGACCCGAAGTTTTATTTCGAGAAGATTTTATTTAGAAATTTAACGGGAGAGATTTTTACCTGAAGAATTAGGGAAGTTATCCATCGCGTGAATTTTTGTCATTTATTTTTCTGTTTCTTTGCAAACATAAAATATACAAGTGTCTCGAAAGTTATATATGTCGATATTGTTTACGCGTGACTTTGAATAAATTAAAAAAGAGTTATTCGGTGGCTTTAGTCGTTTTTTATCTCGTAATAGATTGTTGTTACATTTTTCATAAAAAAAAAAAACTCAATATCTATCTTTGATTGTTGAGAACAAATGTTAATTCTTCTCAAGTTCAAAATTTTTCAGAGAAACATTAAGTCTCTTTTGTCTTTCTCGCGTTTGCGAGATCGTGAACTTCAATTCGGAGAGATCTGTGTTCCCCCGAACACAGGACGCACGCCGCGTTTCAAAATTTGGTTGAAAACGCTTGAGTTCTGATTCATTCGTGTAATCTGATGTTCGTTATCGCCGTGCTATTCGTCGCGCTGTTTGAAGCGTCACACGTTGGCGACACACGCGCTTCTCTCGGACCACGTGGTTCTCTCGGGCGAGCCTCGAAGCGAATCCGCACCGGATTCGCTATTCGCACATAAGAGCACGTGTGCCGCTGCACGCGCGCGTGCATCAGAGTTCTTCCCGGCGCGGTGATATCGCGCGATCTCTCGCGAGCGCGCGGTAATCACACAACGCAGACATTTATTTGTCATTAGTAATTTTAATTTGTATAAACGCGCGACGGATCTGACGCTGTTCTTCTTTTTTTTTTTCTTTCTCCGATCCGATCACGGTCGTCGTCGGTATAGGAGAGATTACGCAGATTTCCGTCGGCCCCACGCAACACACGCATCTCTAATACAAATATTATCTTTATCTTCACAAATATTATCTTTGTCGCAAATTAACTCTCGGAAATGAAAACCAGCTCGTTTTCTTTTTCGCGCGCACCAGCGCGAGACAATTTTATTTAATCTTGATTAAATCCGTATCTCTGTCTTTTAAATTTTCTTTCAATGAGTAATTTAAAAAATTAAGACTATTAACATTTTCAATTTGTTCAAATTAAAAATGTTAATACATATTTAATGTGCTCTCTGAAAGTTCAAAATCTATCTATAAATCAGTATGAGTATAGATATGATTCGAATGTGTCTGTTGACGGTTTAATTGATCGATCGATCTACATATATTGTCGGGGAAGGATTACAAAGATATACAAGCGGTCTCTGCTTAACGAGATATATCGCGATATAAATATTATCTTTATCCCCGCGCGATATAGTTAATGGAATCCAAAGAGATGACCGATGACAACTACGGGGTCTTGTCGTGATATATTTCATAACTTTATGCAACAAACATCACTTCTGTGTTGCGAGAAGATTGCATTCTCGTGTATATCGCAAATTGTTCCCGATTATGTGACCAACAAACGTGACGATATAAATCTTTTCGTTGTAATTATGCACATCACAGGAGACAATTTTGAATCCAAAACGATGTAAAAATGCGATTCCCTCGAGCTGAAAAGTCGAGTTATGTTTAAAAGTCATTACCTTTGACGCACTTCATCTCTGTATATCAATCGCGCAGCTCTCCGGAAATCTAGGTCAAATACGCTAATGAGAAAAAATCATCGACGTGATGTCGGGTAAAACATGCAATTTTGTTATAGGAGGAAATTAATCTAACTTTTTTACTTGTTCAACACGCACACTTTCACACACATTTGATATATATATATATTATATACCGGAATCCAAACGTTAAAACATAATTATGAAAAAAAAAAATAAATAAATAAGCTTGGCAAAAAAACTCAGAAATTACAAATTTTTAAAGTTAATCTCTTTTTTTATTTTGTTAATTTGTTTATCTCGAAAGCAAATTACTTTTTATTGAAAAATAAGCTACGAAATGCGATTAAAGTTTGTCCTGCTTTTCATTGAGAGCCGATTTAACAAAACCGCGAAAGTCAACGGTTGTTTCTGACCTTACTAATCTCGCTCTCTCGCGCTTTGCCGACGAGATAACCGGCCGGATCATCGGCTCTCTCTTTTTCTCTTGTTCTCTTTCTTTTTCTTCAATTCGTCGCGTGTCTCTCGATTAATGAAATCCATCTTACTTGAGTGATGAAAAGATCGTCGCGACGCAAGCGCTTTGGCGAGCGCAACAATAAATTCCCGCTTGTTATTCGCGTCTCATTATTATATATTGCACTTGTATAGATTTGTGTGCTCAAATTACGTAAGTTCACGCTTCAACTTATATAGTCCCGATATATATATATATATCGGCGACGCCGCTGTTATCGAACCGACAGACGACCGGTCAATCGCGCGATTTCGATTTAGATTTGGTAATTTGTAGACGGAAATGAATGGACGAGAACTTGGTCTAGTCCGTGTCTAAATTAATTCCGCGCCAGATGGCAGATAGTTCAGACGCCGCACCCGCCGGGGACGTTCGAATGACGTAAGGAACGACATCGCTCTTCTCCACCTGAAGAATCTGAAATTTAATCGCGCAAGTATTATTTTTCGTGTCAATTGATCAAATCATGTATTACACGAACAAATTCTGTGACGATTCGATGTTGTTTTGTAAAATATGTAAAAAAAAAAAAAAAAAAACCACGAGCTGTATCGTCAGGTCTGAGAGAGATGTTTCAAGATTGACACATTGATTGGTTCTTAGCGCATCGAGACAATTCTCCCCCGCCCTTGCTCCCCACTACACGGCAATGAAATCGAACAATGGCTAAACATGCGACGCAAAAGAAACAAGAACCATAAAAATAAAAAAACAAAAAAACAAAAAAACAATGAAAACTCAGCAGTCTCTCCTTACGTTGTGTTGCAGACTGAGGATGTCCTCAAAGAGGAAGTCGCCACCAACGAAGCTATCGGAGGGCGGGGGCGGTGCGGGTACAGTGGCAGGCGCCAACGAGGAGGAGGAAGACACGACCTCGCCGGTGGCCGGTTCCGGTGGCGAGGCAGCGGTCGTTGTCGGTGAGGAGGGTGCAGCCACCCCCGTCGACATCGAGGAGTGCTACTCCCATCAGAGAGGCGGCGAGTGCGAGTCGTCCGGCTGTTCGTCGCCGGCGACGACCAGCGAGCCGGATCTACGTGACTCGCCATCGCCCTTGTTAAATTCTCTGCGGACGGCCAAACGGCAAAGGCTGCTGTTCCTATCGAGCCAAGAGACTCTCACGCCCTATCATCATCCCCATCATCATCACCATCACCACCATCACCACCATCATCACCACACGTCGTCGTCATCGGGTGGTGTAGTGGAACCGACGAGCTCATCGGAGTGCGGCTCGCCGCCCACCCTCCTCTCCGTCGACTCCTACTATCCTCATCCCCATCACAACAACAACAATACCGTAACGCAAAATAACAACAACAACAATAACAATAATAACAACGGCAGTGGTACCACCGCCGCGGGCAGCAAAAGGTCTATGGACGACGTTCTCAAAAGGCTAACGTGCAAGATGAACAGCGAGTCTCTGTCTATTCAAGACGACACCACCAACAACAGGCGGACGTCACCGCCGCTTTCATCCACACCAACCGGCCATAATGCACATAGGTTAGTCCAGGTGATATCAAGTGCTAAAAATAAAGAGGATCATAGGACGGGGTTTGAATTTTCGTTCTATTTTAAATTTACCGCGCGCGCGAATAGAGAACATTGCATCAAACAACTTGTCTCGACAACGAGATACAAAATAGTCTTTGCACATCTAAAAATATATTTGCTCCCTTTCTTCCATTATATTCTTCGTAATTTCCATTGATTCATCTTGCGAGAGCTGTGAGAGCCGACAGTTTTTGAACTGCTGATTTAAAGTACAATAGGTTTATTGCAAGAAATATCTTCAATAGTACGTCGATAGCCGAGAGCTACCCGAAATAAGAAATGTTTGAACGAAAACTGTCGCGTTTGAAACTCTGGCCGAGAAAATATTTTTCACAAAACGATCTTCCTTTTTCTCTGAGAGAAAAAAAAAGAAGCATTATAGCCGGTATCGAGACATTTACGCAGATGAATTCGGGGAGGCGTGGTTAAACGACACTCCCTTACTCTCGGGTTCACACCGTGAAGAATTTCTTCCTACTTTTCCGATCGTCTTTCTCAGACAGTAATGATTAGTGTAATTCTATGCTATGTAATTTGATAAGGATTTCTTACGCATATTAATTATTCATCGCAATCCAATCGACATTGTAACAGTGCACTCTACACTGTTGCAATATCTGCTTCATAATACGCCACGATGTCGCCGAGGTTATCGCGTATATATTTCTCTCCCTGCTTTACATAACTGATATACTTTTAATGTATAATGGCAAATTGTATTGGCGGGTGCGCGGGGGCTTTTTACAAATTTGTTAACGACGCAACAATTTTTGTTCTAGCAACTTCATTGCTACCAATTTGTGTGTGTGTGTGTCTGTGTGATTGAAAAGCGTGTACTATACTCATGCACTTCTCTAATCATGTATCTTTTTAGACAAGACAACTAATTACACAAACACTATTTAACTCGTCATTTATCAGCTAGGTTGTAACCTATCACGATTACCGAACAAAGTTGCAACAAAGTTACTCTACATAGAAAGCTGGTTATTATTTTCCACAATTCTCGTCATTTGACAAAATCAAAAGGAAATAGATTAACATGCACACGTTCTTTAATCGGATGCAAAATAAATTTTTAAAAAATTCAAATAAAACGTAGAACTATGTGTGTTGCAAAAAATAGCAAGAAAAAAAAAACTTTTGAATCTGTAAACTTACCGACGTTTTTCTTGATTGCCAAGCATTACATTGTGATATTTTACGTTCTTCGTCGTATGATGTTATCACCGGAAATTAGAGCGGCGGCTATAATTTTGTTTCCTGAAAGAAAAGACCACTGTGTGTCTCGCTTAAACATTCTCAAGGCCTGGTATCTCGAATGCGTGGTAACATATAAAGATCGTGCGTGGTCTAAAAGGAGCTATTGTTCCCAAACCCATACGATTCAATCTATAAATGGTCTCTTGAAACTAATCTCTCACGTACAGTTGACAATGACCAGTAACGCGAAAACAAAAAAAAATTTATATACGCGTAACGTGTTAGATGAAAAATAACTCCCACACGTTATATATTATCAAATGATAATAACTTCAACTTCGACTTTTTAACGCGAAGTGATTGCTTGTTTAATAAAAACAACTTGGTTTTTTTTTTTTTTTTTTTTTCACTCTAGGTTGAGACAACTTCGAAAGAACTTTGTTTATTAAAAACTTATTTGGTTTTCAAACGATTGTTTTTTTTTCTTTTGCAACAGCGATAATCACTTCGAACAAGCTGTTTGTTAATTTGATTCGTTTATAGACGTCGAGTTGTGTGACGTCGTTGTATACTTATCTCCCCATTTTATTGGCAATTTACAATGTACAAAGTCGAACAAAAAAAACAAAAATAAACTGTTTATATGCGTAATTAATAAAGTCACCTTATACCAAGGTGACGCGAGAAAAATATTATCGACGACAAAATTAAAATGTTCCGTCACGTGTTACACGATAGTGACGCAAATCTTCTACATTTTGAACACGCGCGACCGAGATCAGTTCTCAATACAATTTGAATTTTATAACCGATTTAATCGAGCGTTTAAATGCAAATTGATCCGGTTAACGATTAGAAAACTATTACGAACTTCTTTTTTTCTTACGCGTTATTTCTTCGAAACAAGAGAACTATATCATTGTGACAAACGAGAAGAAGTTTGTGTATCTAGTTTGTCTTCTCTGACGATGTCAATTCGCGCGCAATAATAATAATAATAATAATAATAACGACAGCTAGTATAAAATACCACGAGAGATGGAACAACAATAGAACAGCTGGATTCGCCGCAAAAAGTGTCTCCTCTCGAGCTAGACAATACGCAATGTTCTCTTACGTTGTCGTGGAATCATTGAGAGCGAACGAGCGATCTTGGCAGCGCGGTGTTTTCGGTGGTCGTGCAGAAGTGTGCCAGTCGCAGCTACCTACCACTTGCGTGTGTGTGCGTGTGTGTGTGTGTGTGTGTGTTTGTGTTTGTGTGTGAACGCGCAAGACGGCGGGCCAAGATTCTTCAAAAATTCAGCCAACAGTACAATTTGCACTTACGTTTACCTTCTTTTTGGAACACGTTCAACTTGACTTTGCATACATCGCGAAAAATAACACGGATCTGATTTAAAAATATATATACGGTCAACGTTCACAATGTTGTTATCACTGCGTGTACTTGTATCTGTGTGCGCGCACAACAGATACTTATTTATACAAACGCAATTCGTTTCCGGAACGATGTGAGTGTGTCGTTTACACGAGAATTGTATTTTTTTTATTTTTTTTATTATTTTTTCAATGCATTATTTCCACAGAAGTGAGTTTGTACTCTTCTTATCAAGTGGTGATTTATTTTCCTGGTTAATTTCCGTGAAGAGATAAGTGCGCGCGTGATGTTAAGGATTAACAAGAAGAAGATGAAGAATTAAGAAGAAGAAGAAGGAGAAGAAGGAGACGAAGAAGAAGAAGAATCGCCGTCTCTTGCGGTTTAGGCAGTGTATCAAAATTTTATACAATTTTGCGCCGTAAACATTCGGCAGGGCGCGTGCAGACAACTGTAACAACATTGTTACATAAAGCGTCTCGACTCGTGCACGTCATACTATATGCATTACTGACGTATCGCGCGCGCGAATCGTATTATGAGAGCACGAGCAATTCGCGCGCGGAGATACGAGAGATACTCGGCTTGCTCGCTCGTGTGTGTGGAGTTATAGTAGCGAGTGGAATTATAGAGTGGACGAAAATATCGAGCACACATGTACATTAGCTCTCGGTTATACTCTAAATATAGTCGGCATTTTGGATAAAAATCTGTGGAGAGAGACAGAGAGGAGAGAGAAGAGAGGAGAGAGAGAGAGAACGGCGATAACTTCGATACACAAAAATCCGTGATGCATTTTTGGTGATAGAGAGATAAAACTTTTTATCGGCAGTCAGTTTTTAATAGCGTAACGCTATTAAAAGCGCGGATAACCGACCGAGGTTACAAAAATATGAGATCATTTTTTTTGTGCGCACAGTAGTATAGCGGAATTTATAAGTATACACAGAGCGGCGAGAGAAATGCATATGCATTAGTAAAAAAAACTCGCTAGTTTTTTTTATTCGATAGATCACAAAATAGTGTCCTGTGTGTTTTGTAACAAATTGAAACTGTGTGTGCGCGCCCGCTAAACGGCGAGAGATGGTCGTCGATACATCGACGACCGAGCGGTTCTGTTGCGCGATAAATTAATGTATTGTGTCCGATAAATTGACTGACACAGCGCGCGGATGTAATTATCGATAGTTACATACTCATAATGGTATCGCCGCGTATAGTTGTGACAAAGCGCTGACATATAAATCGAGAAACGGCGAGTCTTCGCCGTGTGAGGATCTTCGCGCGAGTCCGAGCGAGATGCGAGAAAATTTCTTTATTGCGTTATGACTCGATCTACCACGATCATCAATTTATTTATCATACGTCGTATACGCTAGAATACCGGGGGTTGTGTATGGGAGAAAAACACAAAAGAGAGAGACGAAGCGAGCATTTATCTTGGCTCGAGCATGAAATTAAACCCTTCAAAGCGCGTCTTGATACACGCGACGTGTAAGAACAACAATAACAGCGAAACAGGTTTTTTCCAAATTTTTCAAAACCAGCGAAACTGTCGCCAAGTGACATTGTTGTCCGACGAAAGAAACGCGGAATTGAATTATTTTACGTAGTCGAGTGTGTCTGCTCGTCGACCGCGTGAAGATTGAATAAAATAAATTTTTTTTTTATTCAAGAATAAAGTAAATTTATACACAAGTCTAGAAAAAAATATTCCACATTTTTCAGTTCGTTCAGCTTCGGTACAAAGCGAAAAACATGCTTGCGTATCAAGAGTGTTTCGTTTTTCTACATTTTACATACCTACTTGTTTGTCAGAACGCCGGTGTCGAAATCTATAGTCTGTTTTTCATCGAATAATAATTTTAGTATAATGCAAAACGCACGAGGCACAACGTTATTAGAATACCGTTTTTCCATAGTGTCCGCCGCTTTGTGTCGCTCGTGTGTGTATCGCAAACGTAACTTTAATCGTTGACCCTGTAACGGTAGTATATGAAGCCCGCCGGGCCGCGCTGGCCTATATTTTGCGCGGCATGAGCTTTATCGTTGTCAACGTTGCCACCCTCGTCGTCCTCGCGCACTTTGTCCAAGCAGAGAAGTTCTTCTTGCAAGCCGTCGCACAATAGGCCGCGTATCACTTATTCGCGGTCTATTTTCTCCGACATAAAGGCGCACAGGCTCGAGGCTTGGTTCCGGGCGGGTAGCGGGAACAGGAAGGGGGGGTTGATAGCACCGGGATACCCCATCACGGACGCAAACACTCTTCTCGTCGTGATTGCGCGGCCGCGACTCATCTATTATTCACCTGGCTTCCAGCATCGCGTACGTACGCGACCGCTACCATCCGTTCCAACCTAATACGCTGGAGGCGCATCTCCCTCTTTTTCTCACTTAACGGCCGAGAAATGTCTTCGCTTCTTGGTAGATATTTCTCGACCGATTTTTGTCAGATTCTTTTCTCGTTCTTTGTTTGTCAACTAATACGTTTATTTAAAAAATAACTAAATAATTATCAATTATTAGCGTAATAAAAGAGAGAGAGATATTAAAAATACGTTTAGAAACAATAGTGCCTGAAATAGTGATCCAATAATGATCAATATTTATTATTTATAAGGTTAACAAACTTTCTATTTTTTATTTTTGCATTTTCTGCACATAATATCCGATACTCTTTTTTTTTGCAATCGTGCTTCAAGCAGTTAATTACAGTGTTAATTACAGTGTTAGCAGTTAATTAACACTGTTTCTATTTTCTATCGTATAGAATAATTAACATAAATACTTTTTTATTTCCTATGTCGTATAAAATTGACCATCGTCATCGATCGCATTTGTTTCAGCGGAAGCACGACCACCGTGGCGAATAACGCGACTCTTTCACCTCCGGATGCCGGAAGAATATCAAACACGGAGGCACAGGTACAGCAGGACGGCGTGACGGCCCTTCACAGGGTCTTGTACGCCGACAGCATCGTCGAGAAGGAGCGCCGACTGTCGGAAATGATTCTGCAGCTGCAACTGCTCAGGGAGCAATTGCTGCAACAGCAGGAGCAGACGAAGGTAAACCATTTTCATGTATCACATGTATCTCTCAATTTTATTAAGACGTTAACACATACGTTCGATGCGAAAACAACAACAAAAAAACTTCGAAAACAAATTTATTGTCACAAATTACAAAGAATATTGTGCGACGGTAGAACTCCAATACGCTGCCGACAGGTGCACGTTTTGCCGACATGTCCAATTACATCATATCCGCAGGCGCGCGGTGTATATCGTTTACGAACAGAAAAAACAAAAAAAACAAAAAAAAAAGAACGCGTGCTATACGCGCGGCTGTAATAATGACGAAATCGGAGAATGATAGATTGAGTGTCTCAACGTATACCTAAATCGCTACCCAGTGTAGTATTGAATAATGAGAGAAAGTGCATCGATTATCGTGGAATTACAATTATACACGGTCGTGTAGATATCACGTGCAGAAAAATGTGAGAGTTTCCTCTCGACGCGTTGATTGGTGTGTCCGCTAATTTAGCGTATATCGTGTGTGTGTGTATATGTACATATATTAAAAAAAAAAAAAAAAAAAGAACTAACACGCGCGATTCAAAATTTGCGTAAGAGGAATCGCAATATACTTTATACTCGTGTAAATATATATATGCGAGATTTTCTCTCTCTCTCTTTCTCTTTCTGATAGCGCGAACAACTGAAAAATTCCATACTCTCCCTCGTGTCATCGGAATGTCAAGCCCGTATTCTTCCGCTTGCAAAAGCATCCCCGGCGATATTTCTGACGCCGAGACCTCTCTCTGCGATATTACCGTACTAATAGCAGCGAGTCCGTTGCGAAGTAACAGTACACCTTTTGATGCGCCTGCATCACGCCAGAGTGCAATTCGCAGACCGCGCTCGTTCGCTCGCTATCGGACCCGCGCGAGCGTTCTATGGTACAATGAGATCTCATTGAAATCGTTTAGGTCTGTATCGGATTTGATAACAACGCCGCGCGTCGGAGAGAGATTAGTATCGTCTTCCCATCGCGCGGCGATGACTCGATGCATTTGAGGGCGGCCGCGCGGCCTCAAAAAGCGCGGGTCATCGCGTGGCTGCGGCGAAACACACACACACAAACGATCACCAACGATCGCCGCCGACGTCGTCGCCGCTACGGCCGCTACGAAGGAATCGCGGGAGACCGGAGGAACCTGTCTGCTCGCAAAAATTCGAGCGCGTGCAGATAATGCCCGACGTGTATTACCGTTATTATGCCAGTCATTTACGTGCTGTGGAAACGATGTTTCTTCCTCTCCTCCTCCTCCTCCCTCTCTCTCTCTCTCTCTCTCTTTCTCTCTCTCTCTGATGTAAATTCACCCGCCGGCGAAATTCTACGAATACATTCGTGCGAATATTCGTCATGTGCGGTATACGCGCACAGATAGAAGGGGCGCCCCCCCTTTTTCTTCTTGCGCACATACCCGAACGTTAATATGCACAGAATTTGGGAGCGCGGCAACAACATTCGTGGTGCGAACAACGATCGCGGGAAACGTCTCTTCTCGAGATACCGCGATTTTGCGGGGGTTTCCCTTCCCGCGATCCAATGAAGTTATAAAATACGACGAACAAGTTGCTGACACATTTTCAATTACATAACGGATACATATACGAAAGAGAAACGGGGGAGAAAGATGTGTGTATAATTTTGACAAATAATTGTAAATCAATTCAATTTATTAGCGAAACGAGAAATGTAGTAATAATAATGAAACATTTTAAATTTTTATGCCAATTTATAAAATTATTTTACAACAAAATGATTTTTTATTACGTTTTTTTTTTTTATTTTAATCTTTGAACTAAAAATTGCGACTTAACAGATCTTGCATTTGCGAAAATATTCTTTCACAACAAATTGTCAATATAATTATAACAATAATAACAATCGACGCACCTCGCGCTCGAAGTATGGACAATTAAAATACTGATCGTATCGGCGGATCGTCGGGCGTAAATTGATACTCTCTCGGTTTGAAGATTTGTAAGCAAGCGAGAGGGAGCGGCTTGAACAATCCTCACGAGGCCACCCCCGGATGAGATCCTTCAGAGTGGAAAACGTTCTCTCGTCCGCCATTTCATCGGCGCGGAGTGAAAACGCGTTTGTGTCGGCGGCGTTTGCGCGCGCCGGGCGCCTCGAGTTTAGCCGACGTTAAAGCGGAAGTGCAACGGAGATGCTGCGCCGCGGCGTGGGAGGGAGGGAGGGAGGGAGGAAAGAGAGAAGAAGAGACGTGGAGAGAAAACAGGGGGCGAGGGAGAGGAACGGGAGCTTAGGAGCGGGCGCGTGAGATAGGTAGAAGCGTGAGAAAGAGGTAGGAGGGGTAAAAAGGCGACAACACAGAGAGGAGACAGAGAGAGTCGAGAAAACGTAGGAGGAAGGCGGTAGTCTCGATGTTCTCCTCCTCTTGGGTCGCGGAGGGCGTATAGTAATGTTCGAGTTGGCAGACTCGGGGTCGAGTGGGGGTCTCCCTCTCTCTCTCTTCCTCTATTCCTTTCTTTGTCTCTGTCGCACGTGTCTTCTCCTCCTGCGGTGTATGTGTGAGTGTGCCCCTCTCTCTTTCTCTCTCTCGCTCTCCGTTACCTTTCCACCTGTTATGCGACGCCGTGCCATGCTGCATTGGCACAGGTGTGCGCGACCGCGTAACCAGCGATAGAGCTCGCACACATACACACACATACACACACACAGTTCTCTTCAGCCTCCTCGGTCTCTAACAGAATCCCTCCTCCCCGACCTTTCTCTTCTACCTTTCTGTCCCCTCGCGCGTCTCTTTTTCCCTCTTTCTTTCTCTCTATCTGTCTCTCTTTCTCGCTCTCCCTCTATTCCGTGCAACATCAACTCGACTCTGTCTTTCCCGGCGAACGAGCAGGCCGATCGCGTGGGCGGCGAAGATCGTCTTCCCCTCTACACCGAAACGCTTTCACGGTTCTACCTATATATACGTTCCGGCTTCTCTGCACCTGCAGCAGGGGCATACCTACTGTCACGCCCAGTAGTTCGATTATAATCGAGAACCTGCTGCACGTGTGCTTTTTTTTAGGCGAGCACATTCCTCTGTCGAAGACGATGTCAAAATCCCGCACACGTGTGTCAATGATATATATATATATATATTTATTACATAACAAAATACAATTCTTGAAGAAAAAAAAAATCAGCATTGAATTAAACGTCGTATTATCTGTCAAAAAATTCAACTACAAGTGAACACAATAGTTTGCGAAATTTTTATCGCGTCTCAGTATGTAGAAAAAATTTTTTTCTCTGATTTAGAAGAGTAGAGATCACATGAAAAAAAAAAAAAAAAATGTTTTTACATTGCGTTTAGTTTTAATCTTTTAAATCTAAGAAGATTAGTAGAGACCTTTGGATCGAAAGTAGTGGCAGCAAAATTTCGAGTCGCGGGTTGACGAGATTTTACATTCAAGCACCCGCTCTCTTTGCGAACGAAATGTTAGCTGCCCCACGGGCGTACGCAAAAAAAGCAAATTATCTCCTCTGGCAGATGCGTATATTTCTCTGAAATAAATTTTCGTTCTCCATAAATTACCAACCTGCCAAACACGCGCGACGCACCTGTGCGTGAAATTAGTACATTAACACGTTTCACTGTGTACTACTTTTATATATTTTAATAAGTATTACGGTTAGCACTATATTATACCAATAAAATGCACGGTATGCATATGTATATATATATATATATATATATGTATACCGTGTGCGAAAAATCTTCATGTGACATTTGAGAAAAAAAAATTTGTTGGTTGGAATCTTTTTTTTTTATTTATTTATTTATCCAAACGTTGTTGGTCTATCAATAGATATGGACAATATTTTTTTCGCAATTTTCTTTATAATTACTTTAATCACATCTTCCTTTGCATCAGTTCAAATTCATCATTTTACGCTAGAAAAAGTGTGCTCAACAAAATTTTACCTTCTAGTTTTTTATTAACTTCGCTACGTGCACATCTATGGCGACAAAGTATGTATAATGCATGCTTTGAAAGCAAAGAAATGTAGTTACAATAATACAAACAATCTATGTCGTAATAAAACAATATATGATTTTGAATTTGAATACAACAAGATGGGGCTAATTCTGTTCGAAACATTTCTTCCAACGTAACTATCTCAATCGGAATGCGCTTAATTAAATGTTTATCGATTTTTAATTGCGATTTTTCAAGCCGCGACACAGAGAACACGCATGTCTTAGATGTATGCATTCGATCTGCAAAGATAATCGTCAATTTTTGTAATAATAAAGTAAAGTCCACACACGTATGATCTAAAGAGTCGCGTTAAACAGTTCTTTATTGAATTATAACGTGTATTATTTATTTTAACAAAAAAAAATACATCATATATCAATGCGTTTACATCTATACAAAATATCTTCTCGTATTTGTACATATTATATATATATACATATATATATATATATATGACACGACAATATCGTTATTACGCGCGACAACATGGTCTACAAAGGCGGAGCGAAGCCGTACGGGGGCACCGTGTTTTGTGCATCAGGAACAAGGGGGAGGCGAGCGTGCGCCGCCGTGGTTCTACGCTGGCGTGTGTATGTCCATATCCGTTTGTCCATTTGCGTATCGGCCGGCGCTTTATGGGAATTAGCAGTGTATTGTGGACTGCCGGTGGGCGGGCTGTGTGTGCACCGGTGCACGAGACACGACCGCAGGCACGTCCACCCCCGCAATCCGGCATCGGTGGCGGTAGCGACGGCGGGGGTTGCGGCGGGATAGCCGAAGGGGATGGCAAGAGATAAAGAGAGAGAGAGAAAGAGGAAGAGAGAGGGAGAGGGAAAGAGAGAGAGAGAGAGAGAGAGAGAGAGAGAGAGAGTCGAGCAAGAGACACAACGGTTACGAGTAGAGGGAATTGCCGTGACCCCCGAGGACGGGAGGGGGGGGAATGATTCTCTCTCTGCACCACTGTTTGTCAATACGTGAGCGATATGATCACCAAGTAT